TACATTTGCTGTTATGTTAAACTTATATTAAAGTTTTTCTTCATTACCCATTCAAGCCGTCTCCAGCCATTATTATTCATCCCTGTTCTTCCGTCTTTTGAAAGTGAATTTTTAGCTTTGCCTGCGTGCGCAGCTTTTCAAACGAGAAACAGACGAACGCTCGGACAGACACCCCCAGGCCCGGCATGGCCAGGTGGTTAAGGCGCTCGACTCGCAATCTGAAGGTCGCGGGTTCGAATCCCCGTCACACCAAACATGCTCGCCATTTCAGCCGTGAGGGCGTTATAATGTGACGGTCAATCACACTCTTCGTTGTTAAAGAGTAGCTCAAGAGTTGGCGGTGATGACTAGCTGCCTTCCCTCTAGTCTTACACTGCTAAATTAAGGACGGCTAGCGCAGATAGCCCTCGTGTAGCTTTGCGCGAAATTCAAAAAACAAACAGACACCCCTGTTCCTAAAAGATGGCCGTTTTTAAAACGTGTCTAAAGCAGCATGCACGACGGATGGACAATAGAACGGATAAACAAATATCGCTTAAAATAAGGCAAAACCACGTTTTATTTTTCTTCCAATATATTTATTTAAATAATAAAATTATTCACATCGTAACGTTTTTCATTTTTTTAACATTTAAATTAAAGAAGGAATCTAAATAAAAGAAATTTTGACAACAATGATTTGAACCTTCGCAAAAAATGTAGGCGGGAGAATTTTTAGTGTTCGTCCCATTTTGTATTTTTTTTTTCCTAAAAGTTTAAAATTTCTAGAACTAACGTTCATAGAAAAAAATACTCTCATATAGTGAGACAGACAGAAGAAAACTGTATATAGAATCGGCGAAGACCTGTGATTTATAGGGATATGTTACTTTAAGGTCATGTTTCTGTGGGAACTATGCCTTTCCTGCCAAAACCAGTTCTTACTAGGGCTTTACTTCTTGAGACTATTAGTCCGGAATCTTTCGTTCAAAACCAGTTCGTACCAGGACTTTTTCGTCCTGGGACTGTTCGTCTCGAACCGCTCGTTCCAATATTTTTGGTAAATATATTTCTATATTAAGACTTGTAACAAACAAATAAACATGAATATTTTTCATTAAATAAAATAGATGTTTAGTATTCCTAAAAAAGGTAATTGTCGACACTAGATTCGGTTGTTTGTCATCAAACAAAACAAAGATACTCTGTGTATGTGAAACATTATTGATACTTATTATAAGGACAGACTTTAAACAGTTACTAACATTTAACATAATTTACTAAGATTTACAGTAAATAAAAGTGAAAAAACATAACTGCCCGTAATTTTTGCTGTTGCACTAAGTAGCTGCCTTATAGTCTTAACATTAGTTTCATTTCTTGTGTATAAGTGTTGTTGAACCAAAGGGGAGATATCTGTCTGGCGACTAGATCTGTCTCAGAGTGGAGAAGTGGCGTCAGGATTTAAAACGGTAGAGCGGTTCCAATTTCCCGCTTTCTGTCTTGTGACTAGGTCTGCCTCCTTGCGGAGAAGTGGCGTCAAGATGTAAAAGGGTAGACCGGTTCCATTTGTCCGCTTGTTGATACGACTATGCCAGTCTGCAGAAGTGCAGTCGTTAGATTAAATTT